ACACACACACACACACACACACACACACACACACACACACACACACACACACACACACACACACACACACACACGGCTTGTGATGGAGTGTGCGTGGGGTAAAAGGGAAATACCAAGGTAGTAGTAAAGCTGGTGAAATGGAGAGAGACAGACAAAGATTTGAAGAAAACAAGAGCAAAATAAATTTTCAACAAAGAAGAAAGGGAAATCCTTACAGAGCTCAGGAGAGCTGGAGCAATAGTGTTGTTGATATGATCCACGGCCTGCAGGACCCCTAGAGAAAGGAAGAGATGGAGAGAGACAGAGGCAGAGACAGAGTGAGAGAGACAAAGGCCACAGACAGATGAACATATACCCTGGTGTAATTTACAGTGATTTTATATAGCTACCTAAATTACACTGGGATCAAGAATAGACAAAATGTGCAGCTACTCCAAATAGCTACCTTAGGGGTGGGACAGATGACACAATCTGGTGTAATTTACACCAGTAGAGTGTTTTAATCACAAATCTTTCAGGATAATTCTCCACCAGATTGGAAAGAATTATCCAGGCTTCGTGTTTGTCTCATCTGTCCACTCCTTTTTCCACCAGTGTAATGCCTGTTACCTTGATGGAAAACTTTCATCTGCTCAGGGTAAGAAAGAAAGAAAGAAAGAAAGAAAGAAAGAAAAGGGAGGGGAGGGGAGGGAGACAAAGACTCAGGGCCTGATTTTCCACCCAGATTTGTGCACCTGAAATTCCAGTGAGGTCAAGGGAATTAAACAGCATCAAGCAAGTACAGCTGATGGAAATCAGGTCGAGGGTCAGCCACCCACAGACACAACTTTAATATTATGGAGTTGCCCGGAAGGTCCTCAGCAAGAGAAGGAGTGGGATACTCCCCACCTTTTCCTAGGAATCGTGATTTGTCATCGTCTCGTAGCTCCAGAGCTTCATAGATGCCAGTGGAAGCACCGCTGGGAACTGCTGCTCGGAACATGCCTGGCAGAGCGAAACACACATGTAAAAGTGGAGGAAAGACTAAAGAAAGAAAATCTTTTCAACGTCCATCCCCCTTTCTTGCATCTCTGTGAAAATGCCTCACCTATCATTAATGAAAACTTATGGCTCCTAAGCCATTTGAGGAAGGACTAGGTAACCCCTGAGGTCCCTTCCACCACTTATAACCCAGGGTAATCATGAAGTCATATGTGGGGAAATTAGAGCATAAATACAGGAACAACTTCACCCAAGGTTATATAATGAGATGAGTAGCAGAGCCACACAGAGAAGCAAGGAGTCCTGAGTCCCAGCCCCTTAGGTGCCTTCATGAGTTCCTACTCTTCATCAAACTAGAAACAGAGTACTGGGGTTCTCTTCTCCATCTCCAGCTCTAACACCTTAGACAAAGGAGCTTGAATGGTGGCTGCAGGCAATTTCTCCCATTTTGAAGTTACTTTGTCTTTCTGAATAAAGAAGGGAATGAAATATCCAATTCTAGAAGCAGGATCTGCTTAGGTCACCCATAATTCCTAGGCTGACACACACTCACCTGAATGCACACAGAGGCACTTAAGCTGCTACATACATAAAACACACATACACACAGGAGATTTGTTTTAATCTAGATTACAAAACCTACAGGCATGCAGCAAAATGAGCATGTCCAGGAATCAAGAACACACCTGCAAAAACTGAAAACATTTCCTATCAATAAGAATGTGAATGTGGGACACTAGTGTACAGAGCGACATTTGCATGGACATTTGCATGTTAACATGTGTTAACATGCACAGGGATGCATGCCCTTCATTGGAATATACACAAACAACCCGTCTCTCACACACACACACACACACACACACACACACACAGGGCAAACAC